AAACTCATTTTCTCTAGTGATAAAGAAGTTCTTTGTGTCTGTGATTGTAGGATCTAGTATCAGATCCCATCGTGCCATATTGCCAGTACAGGGGAAGCCTGCAATCCTATTCCCAGACTTCCAAGCACACACCAACTGCAGATGCTTCCTTAGCCTGACGAACCCATCAGAATTTATGGATCATACACATGCCCAGTGTTCCCTCTAAGCTACACGGCATGCTCAGTCATGCAGGCACGCTCATGCCACGCTGACAGGTGCACCTGCGTGGCTGTGGATGCCACACAGCTTAGAGAGGACGCTGCATATGCCTTTCCCAAAATGTGACATATCTGATCCAATGTACCAAATGCCTTCATGGTAACTACATAAGTTAACAAACAGCAACAATGCACCAGAATGAACTCTCACAAAAATATATATAAAGGTCAAAGGCACAGGAGGGTACATTTTTCACAGAACAACCACTTCCTTTCTGATCTCACTATCCTTGTGCTTAACCTTCCAAACACTTTTAAAAAGTGAGCTTTGAAACAAAACTCCATAAACTCCATTAACCTGTTGGACATTAGGAAACAAAGACTGAAATCCCTTCCTCTCATGTAATTAGTATCATACTCTATCAGTGGTCCCACTGACCACTTGTGATAGCAGTATCTGACTGAGATCTGACTTTTACATCAATCTAACTGCAGGTAAAAATGGGGTAGAAATGGAATAGCCAGATAGGCAATGCCTGGTCCATCTGCTGGCTAGATTTGGCCTGTGGATCTGATCTGGCACTCAGGGTGGGTGTGGGGGAGCCCTATCTGGCTAGATGGGGGAAGGGGCCATGGCCTGGCCCTGGCCCAGTTCTGCAGGTGGGGAGGAATGGCTTAGCCCAAGCCTGGCCCTGCAGGAGGGAGGGAGCATGACCTGGCCACATGGAGAGGAAGAGGGAGTGGCCCAGTCCTGTGGGTGTGGGGGGAAGGGGCATGGCCCAGCCCCATGGTGCGAGTATTTGGAAGTGGGGGAGGGCAGCAGCATGGCCACTTTTTGGTAACCAATTTTTTGGACCTATTTCTGACCTGTGGGCTGGAGGTTGAGCCCCCCTGTAATGGACCATGGAATGATCATTTTGAAATATAAAAAAAAATTGGTCCTTTATGCCAAACAGCATCTCCCCTTTCTAACATTCTCTTTCTTACCTATTCTGTTTGCTAATGTAATATATGTGAACAGACATTTTATTGTATTCTTCATTCAGGCTTCAACACTACATGATTAGATTCCTTAGGCTCTCTGTACATGTTGCAGGCAGCCATAGGGCTGACAATGTGCAAATGTGATTTAAAGCCTTCTCCCTTTCTTTGCTGAACAGAGCTCTGCCAAGCCAGAGAATCTGGCCTGTTATATGTTAATGAGCTTGATTCTGCCTATGAACTTGGAAATGCATAGAGAGTTTTGGGAAGGGTGATTCTACCGGGTTTTAAGACTAAAATACATTATGATTTAATTAAAAATGTATCCAAATCTGCGCTGAACAGTATCATTGAGTCGTACTGTAGGCAACCCCACTTATGCTAAATATACTGAAAAACAAAAATGCGGAGCCAGTTCTATAAGGTATATAATAAATCCTGTATATCTTTTTCAGCATAAGAAAAAATCAGTTTAATATACAATCTCCAGATGTTTCTCTTAAAGGAACATATAACATTTTAGGATTATAACTTTTAGTGTTCTATCTGTTTTTTTCAGTTGAAATTTAAAATGGTAGTTCTCAGAGATCACTTTTAGGAGGACTTTACAGAATACACATGCACCCAAAGTTCTGTTTTTAAAGTATTTAAATATATCATCTCTCTATTAAAAGCTCTCTTACCCAATCAGAATTAGATTTTTAGTAATCCTCATCGTTGGCCAAACTCTACTGACATTGACATCAAAGTTTTATCATTGACTTCAATGGAAATAGGGATATATCAGTGCTGAGTATTTTTGAAAATACCACTCATAATGTCTAGGGGCACATTTTGATTGGACCATATGTTGATAAGCCATTTTGATATTGTATCCATGCACCAACTACCAAGGTTCCATAGCTGGTATTCAAAGGAAAAATAAAACACAAACAAACAAACAAAATCCATAAGTCCACAGTGAGAATTCAGGAAACTAATGAAGAGAAAAAGGCTGTGGGGGAAGAACTAAAGGGCTGAGGAATAGATAGAGATTATCCCCAAAACCACTAAGATATATATTAGTTTCAGTTTCTACACTTACAGCCACTTTGAGTTCCATTTCCACTGGACAAAGCAGAACAGCAAAAAATGTTCCATTATTGCATTTTATTTAAAAAAAATAAAATAATTTTAAAAAATTACAATTGAGTTGGGAGAAGCTGTAAGTGACTAGATGACATACAGGAAGAGGAAGCCTTAAAAAGAGGGTGAATGTTAGATTAAATTAACAATAAATTTATTCAAAATAGTAGAGGAAAGATGTTTATCATCATTCCCCTGGCTGCTTTAGCTGATCCTCTGGCTATGAAATATTTTTTATAGAGGAATGATATATTCCATACATTCGTATAAAACTAATGAAAAAAAATTAAAGTAAACAACTTAGAGAAAGTAAGACCTTTTAGCCAGCTGAGAAAAAGACCAAGGGCTTTATTCATCCAGTGTTCTTCACATGTCCAGAAATAATCTCTTAATAATGATATTGCTTTATATTGCTTTACATCTGGAGAGCCCCTAGCATAGTGTGTGGCATCTTTTCATTTCATAGAGGACAAAACCAAGTTAAAAAGACAAGAAAGCAGCAAAGTCCAGAACAGAACTTAGGACATCTGATTCCCAAGTCCCTATATATGCGTTGTCAGCAAGAGCACTCAGCACCTTGCTGAATCAAGCCACGTCAGTTTCCTAGCAAATATTTTATAGTTTCATAGTTTCTAGGGTCGGAAGGGACCT